CCGTTCCCTTAAAAACTGAGTTATTGTTTTTGGCACTTTTTGTCCCATATTTTCGAAACGGCTAGACCTGTCTTCGCCAAAAACTAATCAGCACGTCTCCTTATCAAAACGAATCGAATGTTTTCTGAATTATTCAAATCGCTTCATCCGTGTTCCCGAAATCGTCGACGAAAATTTGTATCCGCACACACACACATACACACACACACATACATCCATTTATTCTAAGGTATGCCAAAATGTTCACAAGGTTTTGAAACATAAAGATATATAAAAACTTTCATTTTCGATTTTTTTGCGATTACTATAACTTGCCCTACGGGAAGTTAACTAGGTACCATACAAATCTACGCCAAAAATGAATGTTCGGATTCTCCTTTGTAAATAAAAATAAGAAATTAATGGATTAATAAAAAACAATTCAATTTAAATGTAATGAGTTTCAGATTAAAGCTAGCACTTGCAATGACTATTAATAAGCCTCAGAAACATTTATACGTTTGCAGGGTCAGCTAGTATATATTTATATATATATATATATATATATATATATATTCGCGTATGTACTTCTGGATACCTAAACGAGAGCTACATTTGACGGCCTCGAAATTCGTTGCAAAACTGCGTTACTATGTGCTAATGTTACATTATAGAAATTTCCAATGTTTAGTGTTCATCAAATCTCTACATAATGATTATTGTTAATAAAACATTACTCATTTGCTAAATTTGCGAAATAAATCATTCCTCATTATAAAAATAGCTTTTGTTACAATAATCGATTTAGATAAGTTTTGTCTTAACAGATGGGTTTTTTGGGTGATTTGAAGACATAATTTTGAAAGTATGTAGTTGGTAAAATGAAGGTTGAATAATTATTATTTACGATGATTGCCATATTTTCCTTGCAACTATAAACCCTACACTAGAATATAATAAAATATAAAAATTGCTACTTTGAAATAATTAATTTTAGTATATGTTGTTTACTATGAGTTGTATTGAGGCGTATCAAAGAAAAAATATCCTTAATATAAAACAATATCACTTTACTATTTATTACTATTACTACTAACAATTACACAAAGCATTCAAAATGTATTATGACTTTTACTATATTTTTTTCCCGGCGGCATCCGAGTGGAAAAGGTTAAAATATTGTGTTAATTAAAATAAACCACTAAATTGAGAATTGTAAAAAGTATATTGGTTGGTGGATTTACGTTTTAGAATACATTCATTTTCGAAGAATTCGGAATACATTCATTGCATACTTTGTACGTGATCTACATTCTTCTTTTCCTTAAAATTAAGTTTATATATACATACATGTTTTAAAATTAATTGCATATAGAAAAACAATCACAAATTCGATTAAATAGACATCTTTATGATACTGACAAGTTAGAGCAAATGTATGAGTAAATTTACTCGACACTTTACAAATCGATTTTAATAGTTCAAAAAAACATTGATTCTTATTGATGAAAACATGTACTGATTAGTTTTTGGCAAAGGCAGGTCCAGCCGTTTCGAAAATACGGTGCAAAAAGTGACAAACAAGGTAATTCAGTTTTTGAGAGAACGGAGCGCTCTTTTCAAATGATAGAAAAACTGATTGAGTTTTTGGAAAGGCAGGCCTAGCGACTTAGCAAAACATTAAATTCGTTTTTTAACTTCCCGTAGGATTGTTATAGTAATGGGCCGAAAATCGAAAATGAAAATTTTTGCATATCTTCACATTTTGAAAGTTTCTGAACATTTTGTGTGTATGTGTTTTGTATGTCCGCTTTTTTCGTCCACGTGTTCGGTCGCACGGATGAACCGATTTGAATGATTCAAAAAACATTCGATTCCTATTGATTGGGAAATGTGCTGATTAGATTTTTGGCAAAGGCAGGTCCAGCCGTTACGGAGATACGGAGCAAAGAGTGCAGAAAATACAAATCGAGTTTCTGAGAGAACGGAGCATCCGATTTGAATGATCCAAAAAAACATTCAATTTGTAATGATTTGGATAATGGTGTTTAGTTTTTGGCAAAAGCAGGTCGAGCCGTTTTGAAGATACCGAGCAAATTGTGCAAAAAAATGCAGTTTTTTGAGAGAACTAAGCATCCGATTTGAACGATTCAAAAACTTTCTGCTTGTTTTGACAAAATAATTACTTTTGAAAAAAAAAATTTTTTTTTGTATATCGAAAATAATTCAGATTTAAATTTTAATTCTTGCTAAAAATCTAAAGCTCACTTATATACTTTAAATAAATAATTTCAACTTTGCAATTCAGTTTATATAATTCTTATAAATATTAGACAATGTTATAGTATTTACAATGATCTATCTCAAAACATTTAATATTCCTAGAACATTTCGTTACGGTACGGGAAGTTCCAGCAATTTGCCTTAAGGCACGATGCTATGCACAACTACTTTGTTATTACTATTATGGAATTACTAGATTGATGCAATATATTAAGCACAGTATTTATACGATTTTTTTTCAATTTGTTTATAGGATATGAATATTATGTAGGTACCTTTATCGTGAATAATGAAAAGCAATCCTAAAACTTTTATACAATTATATATCGCAAAAGAATTCAAATTTCCTTCGAATCATTTTTAAATTGTACATTTTTTTAAATTTGTTTAAGAAAACATTTTTAACAAAACCTTTAAAGTTTTAAACGTCGTTTGAATGTCAAAGTGCGTTTACTAGATGACATTTCAAAACGGTTCCGTTTGCGGCATATTAGACCATTTCAAAGAAACCACATTAGATGTTTTGCAACCAATTTTACACTAAGTTTCGATATATAAATTTCCAGCTAATCTGTCGGAAATGAAATCCATTACATATTAAAAAATATGTTCTTCGCGCATTTAAAACACTAATAATAAGTATGCGTCATCATTGAGCTGTTGTAAAATAATAATTATATTACAAATGAAATTTGAATATTAGAATAAAACTAGTAGGGCGCATGGGATCGTGCCTTAAGGCAAATTGTTGGAACTGCCAGTACTAAATTTTTTTTTTTAAAAAAAAACATTAACATTTTTGAAAAAAAATTACTTTGAAAAAATTAGATTTTTGGGAAATTTTTGACAAAAATTTACTTTTTTAGAAAAAAAAACACTTTTTGAAAAAAAAGTTTTCTTTATTTTGAAATATTTTGTAAATTCTGAACTTTTTTCAAAGCAATAGTACTGCTTTAACTACATAGAGACAAGATATCGAAGCACTGATAAACATTGGTAGGGAACCCATAGGAATGTAAACAAAATTTATACTTATTAAAATCTCTATAAAATACCTGATAATGCATATGTCTAATGATCATTTCTGACCGCCAAATGGCTTTTTTTTACTTTTTTCACTAGATCTCCGAAACCGCTAGACCTGACTTCATGAAAATTTGATTCTTCATCTTGTCAATACAAGTAAAATGTTTTTTGAATTATTAAAATCGGACGTTCCGTTCTCTTACAAACTGAGTTACCATTTTTGGCACTTTTTGCCCCGTATCTTCGAAACAGCTAGACCTGCCTTTGCCAAAAACTAATCAGCACCTTATCAATAAGAATCGAATGTTTTTTGAATTATTCAAATCGGTTGATCGGTGTAAAATTTGAAATAAAATACAAATGAAAATTTGTATCCACCCACACACACACACACATACATCCATTTTTTCTAAGGTATGCCAAAATGTTCAGAAACCTCTGAAACCTAGATTTATAAAAATTTTCGTTTTCGATTTTTTGCGATTACTATAACTTACCCTACGAGAAGTTAACAAGGACAAAAAATACTTTTGTTATGAATTTTCAAACATTGCCGTTTTTCTCCCGATAACAATGTCATAAGAATCAAAGTGATGGCTGGTTATGCATCTTTTTCCCTCTACTTTCAAATATTATTGTTAAAAGATTTTTAACCTTAACTAAAGAGACATCGGTGGTGGACCTTTTTACCCGCGGACCTTTAGGCTCCGCTCTACCCTAGGTGTTGAAAATGAATGCAACAGACCATTACAAATCACAAGTACAGTAGAACCTCGATTATCCGGACCTCGGTTATCCGGATTCGCGATTATCCGGACATAATAGCGTCGGAACTTGCATATTCTTATGTGCATATATACATTAATACATTCTCTGTTTTGACGTGCATATATGCATTTTTAAAGGGTGTATATCCCTTAAAGATAAAATAAATATTATAGAATCATTAAAAAAGGCGAAACCGGCAGTAAGTTAGCTGATAGGTATGGTGTAGATACATCCACTATAAGCGATATTAAAAAGAATGCCGATTCAATTTTGTCGTACACTTGCAAGTTAGATAGTAAAGAGGGTAGTGAAAATCGGAAAATGGTGAAGAGACCGAAAAATGAACTTTTAGAAGAAGCTCTGTATTGTTGGTTTTTACAAAAACGATCAACAAATTATTTGTAAGCAACTTTTCTTCTTCATTGATACTTTACGTACCACCTGATTATTTTACCTCATGATTAATATAATATGTATAGTGTAATCTAAGAAAATATGTAAGTGTTAATTTTCTAATAAACATCGATTTTTGTTGATATCTATGTATGCATTTGTTATTTTTGATAAACAAAACATTATTCTTCATAATTTGGATTATCCGGATTTTCGATTATCCGGATGCCTATCGACAACAATTAGTCCGGATAATCGAGGTTCTGCTGTATTCTGTATTATCAAAACACAGTGGGAAAACGAGAGGTTAAAATTTAAGCGCCAAATCTAATTTACGTGAATTCGAAAAAGAGAACTCCGTTCAAACATGAAAATAATTTAATAATTAGAGCAAGGTAAATTTAAAAAAAAAATGAATTTATCAACATATTTATATAAAATATGTATGAAAAATTTTATTTAAAAAAATACTATTTTGTGCAAACAAAATCGTTGTAAATACCAATTTTGGGTAAAATGAATGACTATGCTAAATAAAACTGTATTCTCACCTTTAACTTAATTTTTTGTTAAAATTATAGTATCACCTTTACACAATTTTTTCGCACTTATTAATTCTTTTGCTTTATCACAATATAAACATTAAGAAAAACAAACGATCGAAAAAACTCATGTTAATACATTGTCGTAAGCAGAAGTTAGTTGTTTGTTCACGTTATTAAAACACAAAATGTTATTTAAATTATTTTCAAAATACATATATTGCAAAAGTCGCACTTGTATACGCCGCGGCTGCAGTTTGTAAACTGACATGTTACAGAAAACAAGAAACGTCAGTTGGTGGTTCAGGAATTCGCAAAGCGAGAAGAGTGAGGGAAGCAGTGACGTTGCGCAAGGTGCCAAACCGTGTGCACTCTTTCAAACATGAATTAAAGTAAAATCCGATTAATATGACGCCGGATATATTGACAACCGCTTATAATGACGTAATTGCACTAGGAAGTTTGGTTTCCGTATAAAATTCCTTAAAAAAACAGCTGTCTAGTCGGATATATTGACATTGCTTACATTGACATGTAATGACCCATTTTTGCAAAAAATATGTCCAATTATAATGACCGACATGATTTTACATGATGTGGCCAAGTCTACGAAAGCAATTGCTATGTCTTTTGTGCACAATAGCACCAGGGACTGTTTTTACAATAAATTTATGTTAAGATATCAATCAAAAATTTCTGATTATTTACATTAAAAAATCACATTTGTATGTTTATGGGTAGGGTAGACCAATTATTAATGGTCCACCACGGATATCTCGTAAACAAATAAAATTAGATTTTTTTTAACAAAAATATTTGATAGTAGCGATTTGATAGTAGAGGACAAAAAATGTATAAATTCATAACCAGCCATCACCTCTATTTTTATGACTTTGCTATCAGAAGATAAGCAGCACATGAGTGGGATAAAAAGGACCAGCAGAACCTTTACTTTGGCAAAGGTGTAAGCAATAAAAAAGTAAAGTTTTAAAAAAAGCAATTTTACAAGAGATTAATTAAATAAATTGCTATTCCTCGTCTGATGAATATTTCTGACCAATCAGATCAATGTAATATACCGTGTTATCTTTGTAACGAATGTACCCACAGAATTAATATTTTGCATTGATTCAATAATGTAGCGTAAAATCCCTTTAAAATTTAATAGAAGAAATTGCATCTGTTTGCCCCCTGGTCGGCCCACTTTACCGCGTATGTGGGGTAAAATGGGTCAGATACCAAATTTAAAAAAAATAGTAAAAAAATAATATTTATATAATTAGGAATTATGTGAAATTTTTTCTGTACATAGTTTGATAGATGCTTGTTTGATGTGTGTTAGTGTTGCAAGGTTGTTCATTGGGTTTAGAGAGTATAATTACTGAAAGTCAAATTTTGTGCCCCGCCCTAATCCATGTCAATTTTTTTTATATTAAATTTTAATATGTGTCATTTTTATTTTTAATTAAAATGTATGTATAGGATTTTCTTTTAAATTACTGAAACATGTAATATATTTACATATTATAATGTTTTTCTTCAGTATGCTTTGTATGACGACCGGTTAATATGACGAGATTTCGGCGTCCCTTCGATGTCATACTAAGCGGATTCTACTGTACCTGATTGATAGACTATAGATTTCCTCCGATTCTTCTTCACCTTGCAATTTTAGTAAAAAAAACGCTAAATGTAACTAGTGGTGCATGGCATCGTACCTTAAGGCAAATTGCTGGAACTTCCCGTACCAAAAATAGTTTTAAATTTTTTTTAAACTCTAGATTTGTATGAAATTATTAAATTCTTGAACAAAATTTACTTTTTTGGAAAAAAAATAACTGAAAAAATTTTTTTTCTTTATTTTGAAAATTTTGAACTTTTTTTCAAAGCAATCGTACTGCTTTAGCTACATAGAGACGAAATATCGAAGCGCGTAAGCGCCGCCTCGCCGTTAGACAAACGATGTTACAGAATCCATAGAAATGTAAACAAATTTTATACGTATCATTAAAACCTCCATAAAATATCTGATAATTTGATGTGCCTATGTCTAATGATCATTTTTTACCCACAAATGGCTTGTTGGAATCGAATGGCTCGACTAATGGAAGTTAACCATGGCATTGGCCTTAAGTGAAATTGCTGGAACTTCCCGTACCTAAAATCAAAATTAAACTAGCTGTAAGTGGAATTGTGTCTTAAGGCAATTAGGGCATCGTGCCTTAAGGCAAATTGATGGAACTTCCCGTACCAAATATTATTATTTTTTTAAAAACGATTAACATTTTTTAAAAAAAATTACTTCGAAAAAATTAAAGTTTTTGAGAAACTAGGAATTTGACAAAAAATTACTTTTTTTGAAAAAAAAAATTGAAAAAAAAATGTTTTCTATATTTTGACATATTTTGGAAATTCTGAACTTTTTTTAAAGCAATAGTACTGTTTTAACTGCATAGAGACAAAATGTCAAAGCGCGTAAGCGCCGCGTCGCCGTCTAACGAATAAACATTGGTACGGAACCCATAGGAATGCAAACAAAATTTATAATTATTGTTAAAATCTCTATAAAATATCTGATAATTTGATGTGCATATGTCTAATGATCATTTTTGACCGCCAAATGGCATCTTTTTTTTACTTTTTTCTTTAGATCTCCGAAACCGCTAGACCTACCTTTATAAACATTTGATCAGTTCTTCATCTTATCAATACAAGTAGAATATTTTTTGAATTATTAAAATCGGACGCTCCGTTCTCTTAAAAACTGAGTTACTGTTTTTGGCACTTTTTGCCCCGTATCTTCGAAACGATTACACCTGCCTTCGCCAAAAACTAATCAGCACGTCTCCTTATCAATAGAAATCGAATGTTTTCTGAATAATTGAAATCGGTTGAACCATGTTCCCAAAATCGTCGATGAAAATTCGTATCCGCGCACGCGCACGCGCACACACACACACATCATCCGTTTTTGCAAAGTGTGCCAAAATGTTGAAAAACCTCTGAAACGTAAAGATGTATAAAAAAATTTATTTTTGATTTTTTTTGCGATTACTATAGCTTACCCTACGGGAAGTTAACCATGGCATTGGCCTTAAGTGAAATTGCTGGAACTTCCCATACCTAAAATTAAAATTAAAAAAAATTAGACTTTTGACAATTTTGAAATTTTTGAAAAAATAACTTGTAAAATTTGATTTTTTTTATATTTTGAAATATTTTGGAAATTTTTAACTTTTTTTCGGAGCAATCGCGCTGCGTTAGCTGCGTAATGCGAAATATCAAAGCGTGCAAGCGCCGAGTCTTAATCCAACAGATAAACATTGGAACGAAATCCATAAAAATGTAAACAAAATTTGTTCTTACAGAAACATCTGATAATTTTATATGAATTTGCCTAATGATCATTTTTGACCGCCAAACGGCCTTTTTTTACTTTTTTTGTTGGATTTTCGAATCTTAGACCTTACCTCCCAAAAATTTGTCAGTTCTTCATTTCGTCAATACAAATAAAATATTGTTTGAATCATTTAAATCGTCATCTCAAAAACTGAATTAATAATTTTGGCACTTTTTCGCCAATACGAATCAAATGTTTTTTGAGTTATTCAAATCGGTTGATCCGTGTTCATGAAATCATCAACGAAAATTTATTTCGCTAATTTTATGTTTTCTTGAGGTATTAAAAATTATTCTTTAAGTCAAATTTGAAAAAAGTATGTGTACGTAGTGAGCCAATTTTTTATTTTTTGTCGACGTTTACTCAAAAACGGCTGGACCGATTTTAAACATTTAAAAGCTATACGATGCAGCTCGACAATTAAATAATAGCGTTTGTTTTGTGCAACGATCTTATCGTTTTTTTTGTGGCCGTTCCTTTATAATTAGCGAAAAAGTGTAGAATTTTTTGTCCTCATATTAGCTCACGAATCGATTTTGAAAATTCAAAAAATGTTCGAAAAATATTAGGTCGGATGTTGTAACTAGTTTTAAACTTGATATTATAAATAGCCTTGATGGAGCAATTCAATTTTATGAGCTATTATTATTAAATTGAAATAAAGCTAATATTATTTAAGAAAAAAATGTAGACAAATTACTTCCTTGCCTTTGTTTTTCCTGGTCTTTTTTATAACTGGTAACATGCTAGTAACATTGAGAACTAGTCTTAGTGACTCATTAGGAATATTCTCAATTTTTGATATATGAGTACTGCGTTTTATCTTTTATTATTTTATCTGTGTAAGGTATTCTCAAGTCATCATTGATTGTAAAATTAGAGAATTACCAAGGTGCGTGTGTAATATTCCTTAAACTCTTTGATTGTATTCGCTGCATTTTAACAATATTGGACTTACTTGCGAAAACCCATAGTTCAATGCCATAAGTTCAGCTCATACATGCTTCAGAACTCATTTATATATATATTTATATATATATATATATATATATATATATATATATATATTTATATATATATATATATATATATACAGGGCCGGTCCTGGGGTCCTTAGCGCCCGCAAGCAATTTTTTTTTCTAGCGCCCCTCCCCCTATTAAATATGTTTAGTTTATCATTAAAATTATATAAATATTTACATTTTTTTTAAATTAATTTTTAATTCTTTTGGATTTAGTACACAAAAAATTAGATATAATCTAAACGCGTATAAAATATATTGATTTTAAATTTATTTAGAAAATCGAGGCGATTCGCGATATCAAATATTTTTAAGCTTTTAATTATTTTTATGTGCAATTTTATTATTATTACTTATTATTCGATTTATTCTATTGAGCAAATCATGCCAAAAGAGCTAAAAAACTAGCTTTTTATTTTCAAGTGTTATACACTCGTATTTCATGTTGGATTTTTTAAATTTTAATTTAATTTAATTTTTCATTATTCACAATATCCAAAATTGCGTCGTAAACTTCTCCTTATTGATATCGAATTGTATTCATCCTTGCTTTCCCGTCATATTTATAGTATCAGATTGTTTCAATTGTGATTGTGATCATTTTTTAACGGAGTGAAGAGGTATTGTCCAAAAATCAGTAAAAAAAAATGCAAAGAAATTACACATTTCTTGAACTATATTTAAAAAAAAAAACTAATTCTATTTGATATATATTATTTCTCCATAGTTAATAATTATTAAATTTAGAGTATGGATATCACAAGGTATGAAAAATGCCTTAAGATTT